GTCCGCCCTTTTCCGTTGGCGCATGTAGCATTTCTATTCATTTGTCTCCCAGGTCTGTCACTGTTGGTGTCCGCCCTTTTCCGCTGGCCATGTAGAAATTCTATTCGTTTGTCTCCCAGGTCTGTCGCTGCTGTGGTGTCTGCCCTTTTCCGCTGGCCATGTAGCACTTCTATTCATCGGCCATGTAGCATTTCTATGCGTTTGTCTCCCAGGTCTCTCGCTGCTGGTGTCCGCCCTTTTCCGCTGGCCGGCCATGCAGCATTTCTATTCATTTGTCTCCCAGGTCTGTCACTGTTGGTGTCAGCCCTTTTCCGCTGGCCATGTAGCATTTCTATTCATTTGTCTCCCAGGTCTGTCACTGTAACATTTCTATTCATTTGTCTCCCAGGTCTGTCACTGGTGGTCTCCGCCCTTTTCCGCTGGCCATGTAGCAAGCCTATTCATTCGTCTCCCAGGTGTGCAACTGGTGTCCGCCCTTTTCCGTTGGCCATGTGGCATTTCTATTTATTTGTCTCCCAGGTCTGTCACTGCTGGTGTCCGCCCTTTTCCGTTAACTATGGAGCATTTCTATTCATTTGTCTCCCAAGTCTGTCCATGAAGCGTTTCTATTCATTTGTTTCCCAGGTCTGTCGCTGGTGGTGTCCGCCCTTTATCGCTGGCCATGTAGAATTTCTATTCATTTGTCTCCCAGGTCTGTCGCTGCTTGTGCCATGTAGCATTTCTATTCATTTGTCTCCCAGGTCTGTCACTGCTGGTGTCCGCCTTTGTCGGTTGGCCATGTAGCATTTCTATTCATTTGTCTCCCAGGTCTGTCACTGGTGGTGTCCGCCTTTTTCCGCTGGCCATGTAGCATTTCTTTTCATTTGTCTCCCAGGTCTGTCACTGCTGGTGTCCGCCCTTTTCCGCTGGCCATGTAGCATTTCTATGCATTTGTCTCCCAGGTCTGTCACTGCTGTTGTCTCCCGTTTTCCGCTGGCCATGTAGCATTTCTATTTATTTGTCTCCCAGGTCTGTCCATGTAGCGTTTCTATTTGTCTCCCAGGTCTGTCGCTGCTGGTGTCCGCCCTTTTCCGTTGGCCATGTGGCATTTCTATTTATTTGTTTCCCAGGTCTGTCACTGCTGGTGTCCGCCCTTTTCCGCTGGCCATGTAGCATTTCTGTTGATTTGTCTCCCAGGTCTGTCCATGTAGCGTTTCTATTCATTTGTCTCCCAGGTCTGTCACTGGTGGTGTCCGCCCTTTTAGCATTTCTATGCATTTTTTTCTCCCAGGTCTGTCACTGCTGGTGTCCGCCCTTTTCCGCTGGCCATGTAGCATTTCTATGCATTTGTCTCCCAGGTCTGTCACCGGTGGTGTCCGCCCTTTTCCGTTGGCCATGGAGCATTTCTTTTCATTTGTCTCCAAGAACTAAGAGATATATATATATATTATATATGTGTGTGTTATTTTGAGCATCCGAACGCACCACCACCAGCACCAAGGAGGATAGTTTGGCCGAAGAAGTCGGCGTGATAGATGAGGCAGCCGCAGTGCGTTTTGAAGAGTGGCTTCAGGGCAAGAGGGACAGAGTCGAAGAGAAGGACTACATGCATTTCAATCGAAAGGCCTACAGAGACTTAGTTGTGGATCCAGGTTGGAAAGTCACGACAAAGCCGCATGACGAATGTGGCTTTCCTGATCCAGGCAAAACGGATTGGAATCATCCTGAGAAGGTGTCAGAACACTACTATTGGTGCATGGGTGGCTTGCCAGGCATGGAGCGAGGTCTCCTCCTCAAGCCTTCCATGGATCCGCCTCAAGATCCGCCGCCCAAAACACCACCCATCGCCCTGGGATCTGCTCTCAAAGATCGCCATCGCCCATTCAAGCCTCGGTCGCCTTCGCGATCTCCTGCCCGGCCGCCCGCACGATCTCCTGCTCGGTCGCCTTCGCGGACTCCTTCGCAAAAAGTCCGACAACGAGGGGGGAGGAGGCTTCAAACAGCTCGACGGCGGAGTCGCACTCGCACCCCACCCAGCCGCAGGGTTCCGGAGCGATCCAACCCGGCCCTGGAACAGTTTCTCATCGACCGTGAGATCAATGAAAAGGCAACGCAGGTTCTCCGCCAGGCGGCTCCTGAAGTGCAGGAGCAACTGCTACGAACCATTCGCTTGGACCATGCATACAACCCTTCGGGGGTTGCGCTCACGAAGCTCCGGGAGCTCGAACTCCCCCGGGGCCGTCCGACGCCGCCCGAACCACGCGACGCGTGGACCCGCGCGACAGGAGACGAGAGACCCGAGGCGCCGAGGAGACGGGACGGACGCCGAGCAGACGCCTTCTCGGCACGGAGGATACTGCTTGAAAGAATCCTGGGAGAGCCAGACTTTGCACACTACCAAAGGGAGGGGCGACACGAATTGGTGACTTGGCATAAGGGCTTTGGACTGACAAGCTGCAAGGATGCTGTTGTCAGTGTTGGCCAACCCCACCACTGAGTTAGTGGATAACTTTTGTGGTTAAATTTCAACGGTTAATTTTTTAGGCTGGGGGAGGGGTTGGGATGTGAAAGCTTATTGAAGTTAAATTAGTAGATCTGGACTGCAAGCTGAGTATTCTTGAAACTAGCGTCGGGCTTGGACTGGAGCCACGGAAATGGAACTATTGCTCCACGGAGCAGATACAATCCCACACACAATGTTTTTCGGCCTCCTGGCGCCTTTCAGGTTCCGGTGAGGCAGATCAAACAAGTTCAAGAAGACCCACGCGCTGGAACTCCTGTCCTCATCCGATGGGACTTCAACAACTACACCTTGGTCTATGGATCTCTGTCGCAGGCGTGCTTGAGTCATGTGAGTGATGTGCTTGCCTCCAAAACTGTTCAGTCGTATGGGATGGGTCAATCCTTGGCTCGCACAAGCCCAGGTCCCCCGACCCCAGCCACATCATGGAATTTTGCTCAACGGTCAAGAAGCTATTAGGAACAAGAAGCTACTAGGAGCTCCTGGCATCGCTACTAGGAGCGATCGGACGCTACTAGGGCAACGGTCGAACGGTCGTGCCGAGGCCGAAGGTGGAAATGTCCGCGCTTCTGTCTACGATTGGGACACTGTACCAGCACCCCTTGCATGCAAGATGGCGCTGGACAGCCAGGCTGGACCAATGACCAGGTCAAACTTGACCTTCTTGCAGGTGTCATACACACGCAGGGCGTAAGCGTAGGTGCCGCAGGCCTTCTTGAACTCTTGACATCATCAGATGGCACATTGAGAGATTTGTACCCTCAGGATTTGAGAGATGCCCTTCGTCCTTTCCTCCATGGCAAGCGGCATGCGCTCTATGATCCGGCGGAGAACAGGGAGGCAATCGGGCAAGGAAGGGGCACGGGAGGCTACTGGGCAATGGATGATTCGTGGCCATGGTTTCTTCGTGTTTCTTCACTTGAGTAGCATTTTTAATTGAATGATATATATAATTTAGATTAGACTAGGCTGTAACTCACCAAATGTTTGCGAAGGCATTTGTGTGATGATACATTATGTGCGGCGAAGGCTCGCGAGGCCTCTGGCGTAGGCCCTTGGATTTCACACAGACGAAGCCAACTTGCGAAGGCTAACCTAGAGAGTGTACGAAAGGTTGGTGTTGCACGAAGAAGCCTCGCGAAGCCACCCTTCCAACAAATTATGACCCTGCAAAACGCCTAGCCTAGGCAACTCAGCAGTGTCATGTATGCATTTGTGGTGCTCACGGCACCGCTGAGGCGTGGAAGGACTACTCCTCAAAGCGGGCGCTTGTTGAAGTGCAGCGACTCGGCTTAAAAGGAGGTGTGCTTCAGCCTGCAATTTGTTTTCCTTTGTCCCGTGTTGTGCATGAGAAGATCGACAAGCTGTTCAATTCACACCTGAGGTACATCAGACATTCGCACAATGAGGTCAATCGCTACTTTGCACATGGTGAGCATGCCAACAGTTCAGTGCTGGACTTGATCGAGGACCTCATCAATGAGAAAGCCCACCCACAGGACAGCCAGTTCACATGTGTTCACATACAAGTCACGAAAGGTAGCTTGAGCTACCTGAGTTCTCCTTGCTTTAGCAAACATGTATTACAATCAGGAGTTGGGATTGTGCATTGAATTTGGTCCTGTAAGAGTTGATTCTGTTCGTCGGGGGGGGGGGCCCCCTCCCTGGATCAAATCCCCCCTGCGCCGGTTCGCGCCGTCATGGACTTCTACCAGGGTTACTTGTGATTGCCTGCTACCTTTCGTTCACCCCCTCCTCTCTCAAGTCCCAGTGTGCCTTTGGAGATTTCCCACAGACAACTGACATTTTTTGCTGATTGCGGGCGTGGAAAGCTCTGCTTGTGACACGACACAACATATATTCACACTTGCATTGAGATTGCAGTTGCAAGTTTTATGTTCACACAAATTCTCTAAAATGTCCCACCGGGGGGGACATTTTGGCTCAAGTTGGGAGGCAACCTCGTGTGTGTTGCCGACAGAGATTTGACTCCGAGCTTTCCTAGGATCCTATTTTTGGTTGACGATTGCAATGGCATATCCTATATGGAAGAGTCTTATGAGATGGTGGAGACATTCACCGAAGCTCAACCGGCCACTGCGGCCGACGACATGGCTGATGTGGCTACTGTTAGTAGCCCAGACATTGAGAAGCTCAATCAGGAGGCGGATGCGGCCTCCACTGCCCTTCGACATGCTGAGGACGAGGCAGCTTTGGCCTCTCCCTTTTGGCAAGCCCAGTCGTGGTGGAAGAATTGGACATACAGGCACAGATCCGGGACCTCACCCGGCACATGGACGACCTTCGGGTCCACTCCGAAGCTCTTGAGGACGCAGACAAGGGCACGGACCCTCCGATGCCTGGTGCAGCGGCCAGCGGGGCCTCAGCTCCAGGCGCCTCTGGCCCAGCTGCTGGAGGGCCTCCACCTCCTTCGGCGGCTGACGCACCTATGGCGGATGATGCGCCCACTCTCATGGAAGCGATGGCTGAACCCCCGGTGGCTTGGCCCATGGCTGCGGAACCTCAACTACCAGCGGCTGCTGATCCATCTACTGCTGCGGAGGAGAGTGAGCGCCCGGGCTTAGGTTTTTCTCCCCCCGCACCTGCGGGCTATAGTGTCGACGCGCCGGATGCCATGGCGGCTGATGACCTCCTCGGGCAAGGGCAGTACTGCTTAGTTCACCCGAACATCAGATAGAGTGGTCGTGGAAATTGAAACAGAAGATCCAGAGAGCTAACACGATAATGGAAAAGTTGACGATGATCAGGGTGATGGAGAACCAAGATCTTGCCATCCTGACGAACAACTCGCCAACCACGAACTCCCAAAATGGTGCAGATATCCAGAGCCAGTACCTTTTGACTCTCAAGACGAAGCAGGATGTCAAGACACAATCACTGGATCATCAGGACTCATGGGCAGATATCTTATTCGATGCACGGCCCAGGTGATCAAGCCGATGTATACTTCGTATCATCAGACTGGTATTGCCAAATTCCGCAGATACTTCGCAAAGAAAAGGTTGGATGTCATGTCTGACTTCACCAACGGGGTAGACAATGGGTTCGATGATGACGACATGCCCAATGACCCAACTGAGAAACAAATGGAAGACTTTGCAGTGTGGAAGGACGTTACCACGGAAGAAGCTTGTCATATGCTACGAGGAGAGCAAATGATTGGAAAGTTTGCGTTACAGGCGATTGCTTTTGGATATGCACCTGAGACCTTCAAGAAGGAGTTCAGTGAAACAGACAAACCACCACCAGGTACTACCCGATCAATGGTAGAGCCTAGCAAAAGGTCAAAGCAAGATGCCGTGTCAAAGATGATCAGGAAGTGCATGAATGCAATCTACAGTGTCGCATCATATTTTTACTTCCGTGATGACTTGAGTGACAACAACACGCGCAAGTGCATCAATCCTTTAGATGTCATGTACTCCAGACCGCAAAACAAATGGGACAACGTGATGCTACTAGTGATGGACCAGGCGAAGATCACCCTACTACCAGCAGCACAGAAGATGTTGGAGGAAATGGCGCGACGTCAAGATCAGAGAGCATTTGAGCGTTGACGCAGCGTGTTAGACAAAGAACAGACCCAGAAATTGGTGGACAAAAACCAAGAGTGGGGAAAGCGTGTTATTGACAGCAAATGGAAGCCCATTCAGCCCAGTGTTGCACCTGAGATCGAAAGACCACCACCTGGAGCAGCTTCATCAAGTCATCGTGCTCAAGCACATCAACAAGAACATCGACGGAAAGGAAAAGGAAAAGGAAAAGGGAAGATCTATGGTCACGCCGGTCGACGAACGTGGGAACAAACCAATAGATATACTCGTGACTGAAAGCCAGCAGCTATGACATATGAACATGAACAGTTATGATGCACGTTCCGAGTGCCACGTATCAGAGCAACACAAAGAAGCTGGCGAGAATGGGACCAAGAAGAAGAAGAAGAAGAAGAAGAAGAATACGATCATGGTGAACAGGACCATGAAGGAGAAGAGAATGATACCTGACAAGAAGAGGTCAACGCACTCGTACGTGAACCTTTGGTGAACAAGGTCAGTGCACGACGCTTGACTTTAAATGTCGTAAGCGTATCTGCGTGTGAACTTTCTACAGTTGAAAGGGTGCAAAGCTCTATCTACATCGTGGTGAAGAAATACTGAGTGGAATCTGAGCAAGGCAAACCTTCACTGTCGGTTTTCACAAATTAACGAGGCGCGCGCTGTATATATATACATATATGTACAAGACCGCTTAGTTTTAATAGTGAGGTGTAGTTAGAGTCTATTTCGATAGGTCTCGCGGCAAGGATATACGAACCACTGTACATAGTCCACTACATTTGAATTTCACGTGTGACCATTGCTGATAGCATCGGTCACATGGGGGGTGTCAATAGCAGTGGGGCGATAGCATACCAAAACAAGGGCGCGCCATCGCTGTCTACGAGGGAGAGGATAGTCTACTCATACTTCCCGTTGAGCAGGTTAATATCCACACGCACTTAGAAGAACAGTCCATGATTTATGGCGAGAACTCCTTCAAGGGTGGGCCATCCCATGCAGGCAAAGAGCCCGCCGTCTTTCTCTAGATCTGCCAGGATCTTACTCCCTTCGTGGTGATCCAGTTCACCAAGCTGGAGTATTGGGCGGTCTTTGGGAATCGACGGCTCAAAGCCCTGTCGCTGGGCAGAACTTGTGTGTCCCGGTGCTCCAAAGAGATTGGTTTAGCTCAACTTGATTACTGCTGTTTTCACTGCTTCTTTAGTTGGTTTGGGAACTGGGAACGCTGTGGCTTCAAGGGCTAATTTTTTTCGGCAGCAGGAACGAGGCCACCAACGAAGGCACTCTCGATTTCCTGGTGATACTGGCAGAAAACCTCCCAAACACACGTGCAAAAACAATCGTAGAAAAACACAGGGCCTTTAGTGCTTCTTGCAAAACATGATGCTCGCAAGGGCACCCCCTTCCCTCGAGATGGCTTCAGATGTTCCCACGGTGCAAGTTAAGCCGCGCGTGTTGCCTCGCATTATTTGCATGTTATTTTTTGGTGCCATGCTTGGTACAACCAACAACCACAACAACTACAACAGAAGCAGCGACGACGACTACTACTACTCCTTCTTCTGCTGCTGCTGCTTCTACTACTGCCACCGCCGCAGCTACAGCTACAACGCCCACAGCAACAACACCAAAAACGAGCACAACCGCAACAAGATCAACAACGACCAAAGCAATAACAACAACCACAACAACACCAACAATCACAGCAACCACAACAACAACCCACCACAACAACAACAAGTCTCACCTGTTTGCCCGCCGTTTTCAGATCTTGCCAAGGAAAGAGTTCCAAAAGTACCTGGATGACAGGCGCGACCCTCTCCAAGTGAAGGCAAGATGTCTAGTCTGGAAAAAGGAAGAGGTGCCAGCAGTCCTTGCCTGCAAACTGGCCATGAGTACAACGACCACGAGCCTTGGTGAGAGCAGATGTGTAGGATTTGGATGCTGTGGGACAGAGGTTGCGTGCTGTGCCATAGGTGCGGGTTGCAATCAAATGAAACAGGCCGCTCCTTGAGCCTGGCCATCTCAGGAACCTCGGCAAGTTTGCGGATTGGGCTGACAAGAAAGGAAAAGGCAAAGGAAAAGGCCGTCGTTGAGCCGCTGGGCCTGCAACCACCACCGATAGGCATTACTTGAAAGAAAAGAGTGGACACCTGCAGTCTTTGACACTTTTAATTGCACCGTATTGCACCCAACCCCTGTGGTGCTCAGGTCCGCCTTTGGCTCAGGTCCGCCTTTGAGACAACCACCGAGAGTACCATCAACGTCTGGCCGTGTGTCAGTCGAAAAAGAACGGAGCTGGACGCGTTTCGGCACGGTCGGGTCGCGAGGGGCCGGACAAGGGCAGATTTGGATTAATTTCGTCCGATATCGCAGCGGCGTTCAAGCTGGGTTGGTGAGTGGTTCTGGAAGGCCATATAAGTAGTTTTCATTTTACTCGAGGTTTGTTTCATTATAGCTACATGTAGAACAAGTGTGTATCATCTCGTTTCCATCCACCTCCAAGCGCTCAACAAGATCAATTCTTTTTCCCATTGCCTTCGCACGTATTGTGTATAGCCTAGATCAAGGGGCTGCAGTGCTGCCACATCAAGCTGTTAACTTTTGAGGCGCTCTGTAGCTCAGCTCTCTTTTCTGGAGTTCCAGTTCCACAGCTTGCAACCCCCATATGGAATTGCTTTCAAAACAACACTCTCTCTCTGGAGTGTCCCTAAAGCCAATAGACCAAACGGATCACCTCATTGGCCTTCAAACTCACAGGCTTCTTCATGAAATAGAGCGGTTTCCCTTGGAAGGCGCAACTTACATGAACAAGTGCACTGGGCTCACTTGCTTCCATCATTTTTCAACTGACATATTGTTGAAATCCAAGAGACGAGGCCATAGCTCCTGTCAGGGAAGGCGTGTGCAGCTCGCTGCAAATTGAAGAACTAGAGCCTTGCTCAGGACCTTGTTAGGTGCCTTTCTTGGGCAGAACTAGCAGCCACATCAGAAATGATGTAAAGTTTCAACTAGACAGCCGAAACATTTCAAGACATGGTATCAGCCAGCTCAGTAGTGGGGGCTGGGTTGTATGAATTGAGCATAGCTTAGCTACGCTCAACAGTGGTAAGCTCAACACGAGCACAGGTCGGTGTGGGAACAGCGCTGGGATAATCACTGCAGCGTCATGTGTATATTCAACTAACTAATTAGCAACAGTTTTATGTTGTCTTCAGTGTATTTTGATGAGTTCTGCAGAAGTTGTCGCTGGGTGGAAGACTTGTTGGAGCATAGGCAAAACCCACAAGGACAACAAACCCACATGTAAGCGACACGCCATGCTTTGGTGAGCGTAATGCTGGCATCAAGCACCTAAGCTGAAACACCAGGTTCATTGACTCACCACATCCTGTAAGCTTAGATAACCACAGCATTTGACCAGCAGGTTCATTGATGCACCACATCCTGTAAGCTTAGATAACCACATCATTTGACCATGTCCCCATGTCATTGCATAAATCAGTACAAGCCTAAGTCTTGTGCATCCAGAGGTAACGCTGAGGCTGCTGTGCTGAACTTCAATCCAGAGGTGGACGGGGTGTAGCTAAAGATCGAAGAAGCAGAGCCATTGGGCTTCACGATGAATACGTCAGCTCCATCATCACCTCCAATCAAAGCAATCAAACTGCAAACTGCTCATGTAGGCTAAACTTGTCTAGGACATAGGACAGGCAAGTATCCATGATCATGAGACTTGTCAACTTGTCTCCAATGCGATGGCTGGCGATGGCTCGCCTTCATCGGTGGCTCCAGGCCGCTCAAGTGAGTGCTCTTTCACCTTGGTGTCAACGAAGCCTTCATCCATTTCATGGAGCAACCCACGTAAGGTAGTTATCTCGCTGTCACTGGACGCTTTTCGGCGCAATCTCAAAACCACTTTGGCAAGATCGTTGGTGAGGCGAAACTGGCATGGGTATGCCCAAACATTGCCTGCAGCACATAGAAATGAATCTTTCAAGGTTGAACTGAAGGTTGAGTGTTTGCAACTGAAGGTTGAGCAACTGGCTCACATGAAAGCCGATGACGCAAACGGTGTGCCACCCCACGAAAAACATAAAGTATTTGGTATTGCACTCCAGTGTGGCAGGCATTTTTCCCCGATTGATGTCCGCTGGCCACGCGCGGCAATCAAATGCGATGTGAACTAAGGCTCAGCATCATAGCCCTGAAGCTAAGATGAGACAGGCTGACATGAATGATGACAGTCTCAGCAAAATATTGTCCTGACACTTGTCAGGCCAGCAGCTCGTGCCGTGGATTGCTTCTTGGTTAAGCGCCGACGGCTTAGCTCAGACTTTGACATATGGCTCATTGCATTCAGGCGCTCTGGATGATTCTCCCACCTTGGCATCGAAAGACGAACCACATATGGCATAGGACATATCCCAACCGTTTGTGAAAAAAGTGTTAAAAATTACCAATGAGCATGACGATTCAATTCCTTTTGAGACAAAGCACTCCTTCTTAGCCATTGCGAGAGTTTCCCTCCCAGTCTTGTTGGGGAACTCCTCCTTGATTGAGACGTTTCTGATTCTCGTGCACCACAGCCCAATACACGAAGTGGAAAGACACATCGCGCTTCTCACTCTTGTTGGTCTTTGCTGACTCAGCGGGCTTGTCGCTGATAGGTTCATGACCATCATCGCCATCATCAGCAGCAGTGCCATTCTCAGATTTCACAGCACTGGATCCCCCAGCAAGGCCTGGGCATTCTTCATCCGAGCCAGTAAAAGGCAAACAAAGGGTATCCTGCGAGAGATCTCCTGGATCAGGCTAAAAAAATAAAGATCACTAAACCATTGGAAATTCTTGAAATGCTTTGTCGACATGTGATGTTTCGATTATCGATTTGTTTCTATATGCTCATCACGTTGCGTTTGTTGCTTGGCCAGACCAGGCCTCTTCACGCTCTGGTGCAGCTTCACGCTCCGGTGCCTCTTCAGGCTCCTCCTTTTGGCAAGGGGCCCAGTTGACGCACACGCACACATGTACCAGCTAGAGATGCAAACAAAATATCAAAGAAGATCTACAGAAACCAAAAAGTGACATGTCAATCGATTGACATGGGTTGGTATTGACCTTGTTGTCGGATTTCTTCGCTTTGGGCTTGCAAGTCTGGGAAGCCTTAGCGCCTGATGCCTTTGAAACCTTAGCCTTGGCAACCTTCAAAACCTGTGGCTTTGAAGCCGCTGCCTTTGCCTTTGCCTTTGGTGCCTTCTTGGCCTGAACGGCGCACTTCTCTTTTGCAGACGTCGGCTCCTCGCCCTCAAGGTGTCCAGGGTCTTCAGGATGTTCTTGCTTTGGGCTGGGATCTTTTGGCTTCTGGGTTCTGGAAGTGGCGGTCTTCTTTGTCTCTTCCTTCTCATCGCAGTTTTTCTTCTTCTTCTTGGGTGCGATCTCAGTCTCTTCCTTCTCATCGCTGTTTTTGTTCTTCTTCTTCTT